CAAAATATAGAAGAAGAAGATCGTTAGATAGAAGCACAACAATGTTATGTAAAAAAAAAATGTTTAAATCTTAAATTTTAAAAAGTAATTATGAACTGTTATTTTGTTATGCAGTTATCACCATGGATTACTAAGTGGTGTCCTCAAGCCTAGGATTTCAGATATCACCAAGGTTACTAAGTGGTCTTTTCAAGTCTTGGATTTCAGATATCACCATGTTGAATCCCTGGATAACCCCACCACCAGTTTCTTAGTTTTTTAGTCCTGGGATTAAAGGGAACAATCTAAATTTAGACTTCCGTTTGTGTGTTTGTGAGGAAATCACATACATGGCAATATCAGAGAGACAAGGTCAAGGCCAGGTATTGCCACCAAGTAGACACATGAGCACAATGACAAGGCCCTAGAAAATTTCAGGATAAGTTCTAATATAGCCCACATTATCTCACAAGAAGATGGTGTGATTATAATGATAACTTAATTTAAAAATGAACATAATTTAAATGTAAAAATGAACTTCGATACCAGCATTCAAAGCAAAGATATCTTCAAGGCGTCTATGCTGTGACTCCAGGTATCATTGCCGTGACTCCAGGCATCAGTGCCGTGACTCCAGACATCAGTGCCGTGACTCCAGGCATCACTGCCGTGACTCCAGGCATCAGTGCCAAGATGCCAGGCATCACTGCTGTGACTCCAGGCAACACTGCCGTGACTCCAGGCATCAGTGCCGTGACTCCAGGCATCAGTGCCGTGACGCCAGGCATCACTGCTGTGACTCCAGGCAACACTGCCGTGACTCCAGGCAACACTGCCGTGACTCCAGGCATCAGTGCCGTGACTCCAGGCATCAGTGCCGTGACTCCAGGCATCAGTGCCGTGACTCCAGGCATCATTGCCGTGACTCTAGTGATATTTGAATAGAAATGAGAACCCTGACATTTTTGTCAGCATAAAGTGAATGATATATCAGATTTCATGCGAATGATAACTCAGATAACATGTAAATGTTGGTGTTGTTCGTCCATCGAAGTTGACTAGGACCATCTAGTCATCAGGTTAGGGGGAGGGTGGGTTAAGATAAGCTCGTAGGTGGCTTGCTAGACCTATCCGTGCTCGAAATAATCTCTGGCACCGCGGCCATGGGATAGTTGCTGCAGACGGTGACCTAATGTTGCTCTTTCGGGTAAGCCTGTGTGTCTAAGCTGTAGCTATCCTATTAGCTTCATGGGATTTAGCCCCCTTCTTGACAGCTGCTCTCCAACTCTGCTCTGTCCTGGGCTGTCTGCACCCATTGAGTAGGGTTGATGCTGAAGGCCTTTAGTGCCACTTTAAGTGAGTCTTTGTAACGCTCTTGTTGACCTCCTTGGGAGCACTTGCCTATCGTGAGTTCTCCGAATAATAATTGTTTTGGGAGCCGGTGGTCTTCCATACAGGCTACGTGTCCCATCCAACGGAGCTGAGGCTGCATCAGGGTGGCGAAGATACTAGGTAGGTTTGCTCTAGCAAGGACCTCGGTGTCAGGGACTTTATCTTGCCACCTGATGCCGAGGAGTTTCCTGAGGCAGGTTGAGTGAAAATAATTGAGTTTCTTGGCGTGACGCTGATAGACTGTCCACTTTTCACATCCATAAAGTCATCAAACATGTACATAACATGGATAACAAGTGAAAGATAACACAGATAACATGTGAAAGATAACACAGTTAACAACTGTCACTAGATCTGATGGCTCTCTACTAAAAAGTAAACCATCTAGAAGTTGCTAATCCTACAGATAAATCTAAAACTATGAACTAAGATGGCTGCCATTCTCTGTCTGCAGGATATACATCTTTACACTAATTCTAAATACCAAAACAGAAGTCATTGTGCCAAAACTGAACACATGTCATTCTGTTGAAACTGGACAGATGTCATTGGGCCAAGACTGAACAAAAGTCATTCAGTCAAAACTAGGCCAATGTCATTCTGTCAAAACTGGACAGATGTCATTCTGTCAAAACTGGACAGATGTCATTGTGCCAAGACTGGACAGATGTCACTGTGCCAAGACTAAGATAGGACATATGTCATTTTGTCAAAACTGGGCCAATGTCATTCTGTCAAAACTGGACAGATGTCATTCTGTTGAAACTGGACTGATGTCATTGTGCCAAGACTGGACCAATGCCATTCTGCCAAGACTGGACAGATGTCATTCTGTCAAAACTGGACAGATATCTTTGTGCCAAGACTGGACCAATGCCATTCTGCCAAGACTGGACAGATGTCATTCTGTCAAAACTGGAAGGATATCTTTGTGCCAAGACTGGACCGATGCCATTCTGCCAAGACTGGACAGATGTCACTGTGCCAAGACTAAACAGACGTCATCATGCCAGGACTGGACAGATGTCATTTACAATGGAGGGACACCCTTGATACACTCTCTCTGTCACTGAGGGCACCAAGGTGATCCAACTGTTCCAGTGTTAACAAGATGTCTCACACAGAGGAACCCACAGTGATCCAACTGTTCCAGTGTTAACAAGATGTCACACAGAGGAACCCACCCAATTATGCACTCCATAAAACCTGAAATATGTCAGTACGTCTTTTTAGTGACAGAGATGAGATGCAGTGAAGCAAAAGTATTTGATGACTGACCACAAGTCCATATAACTTATTATAACATTAAGATAGACAGCATAAGAGAAATAAGGGTGTACTTGTTATCAGTTATGGTACTCCATAATCTAGACAAGGGAGATGATCCAGTAAAAACTTTCCATAGGAGACGTATCAATTGATCATGTCGATTGTTTCAATTACTCATCTGACAAATTCATCTGTTATCTCCCTTGATACAATAAGTTTCTAACTAAAACAATCCCAGCTCCCACAGACAATAAGTTTCTAACTAAAAATCTGAGCTCCCATAGTCAATAAAAATAGATCTAATCTGAAATAAATTCAAATGTGAAAAAAATTTAAAACACTGTTAAAAAAAAGTTTTTAAAAATCCATTTAAAGTTTTTACAATATTATCTTCAAGAAAGATTATTGGTATAGCAAGATGGGTTACAGGTAAGCCAAGATGGGTTACAGGTAAGCCAAGATGGGTTACAGGTAAGCCAAGATGGGTTACAGGTAAGCCAAGATGGGTTACAGGTAAGCCAAAATGGGTTACAGGTAAGCCAAGATGGGTTACAGGTAAGCCAAGATGGGTTACAGGTATGCCGAAATGCGTTACAGATATGCCACGATGGATTTACAGGTAAGTCGAAATTTATAAAGGTTATGTGATTAATAAAAGTAAAAGTTGCTGTGTTTTATGACATGTAAAAGTCAATATATTCAATAAATCTGCTAGTTAATAATATTATACAAAACAACTACATCCTGATTTGTTTGGTCATTGGACATGAGTGAATGAACACTTAGTGTCGAAAGATCAACGAAGACTAGAGTTGAAAAAAAGTCTTGTACATAAAAGAAGGCTAGATTAAAAGAAAAGACTGATATATCAAAGACTTGAGTAGAAGAAAAGTATGAAATATCAGGAAGACTTGATAAATAGAAAAGTCTGATATATCAAAGAAGACTTGATTAAAAGAAAAGTCTTATGTATCAAAGAAGACTTGATTAAAAGAAAAGTCTGATGTCTGGGTTGAAACGTTTAGAGCTGACAAGAAAAATCAAATAACATTTCTATCTAAAATGACTGCATGATAATTCATCCGCCACATGACTACAGAAGAAGAATAACGATTGCATGCCTCTTTCTGCGATGTTGTTTGTGTCAAATATTCTTGTTCATGTTTAATATTTGGGCTTGTCTAGGGTTTTATGATTCTGGCAACTGTTGAGATGGCATGAAATTCTTGTCACACAATGGACTAGTTTGATTCAACCAACAATAAGCTTCATAATGAAATGACCTTTAACTGATTAGCTACTAGATTGAAAAACCGGCTGTGGCCGAATTAAATCTAGGTCACGTTGACTGCGATACAAACGTTGGCACTACCATCGGCTCATGGCCATAACAAAAGAAACGCCCAGCCGCTCACAGCGGGGCATGGTAGTTGACCAGTTAAATAAATTCTTAAATGTATCGTAATTATTAATTTTACATTAAAAAATAGTGTAATAATATTGGGTAAATTCAATTATTAAAGTTTTTTTCCCTCCAGCATTTTTCTTGTTGTCCTGCCATGTATTGCTATTTAATAATACTTCAGCAAGACTGAAGCACAATTTTTTTTCTGATAGACATCCCCCCCCCACACCCCTAAAAATTCACCATCTCAAATTTCAAGATCTGTGTGGTCCTACAAATGTCTTAGTCCAACCAAAAATGTGTATCATAATTTGAAGCCTCTTTATTAATGAATGTATTTTTAAAAGATAGCACATTCAGAACCTTCCCATTACTAAATCCAACTTTGTTTTCTTGAATACAATCAGCATCAAAACCTTGGGATCAAATGGAAACTGTCATATTCAATTAACAGTGGTGCTCCAAGCTATTCAAGGAATAAACAGTGAAAAATAACTCTGCTCATTCAAGGGGAAGCAATCTTAACACCATAAGATAAGCAAAATATTTACCCGATTCACTATTCTTCCAGCTTACCAATCATTGAACATGTGCATTGGTTTGGGCTAATAAATCATTTCTTGATGTTAAACATCAAAAGAACAAAGTCCACTTATAAGTAATGTCCTAAAAACATAAGTCAACCTTCAACTAAGTCAGTTTCCCCATGTCGTACACATAACTCAACTGATACAGTCGTAGAGGCAGCTGCTGATTCACTGACCAAAAATGGAAAATGTTTTGACATAATATAACTAAATATTCATGAAATCTGTTTATCTATGTTAAAGCAGTGGTTTAAATGTTCTAATTTTACATAGACAATTAAAAAAGCGGGGTGGGGGGGGGGGCGGGGTGGTATACAGGCAAATTAAATATATACAAATGTATGATGGATTATATTATCCTCAGTATCCATTGTTGTAAAGCACTCAATTTTTCTATGAACCAATGACTTCACTTTGCACATGATATTCTCATTGCTGAGACATTTTTTTACAAAAATACAAATCTACATGACATCCATGCCACTCATTGGAAATGTTAAATCCATCTTCCCTTGATATGTTTATGTAACATTTTTACAGATGCATTTTGCCGGGAATATGCCATATTGCACTTTAAAATCTGATATTATATTTACTATACAGCATTTGAAATCTGGCATAATGTCTGCGGTACAACATAAAAAAACTGGCATCAAGTCCATGACACAGAATTGTAAAACTATTTTTTGTTCCTTCAACACTGAGCATTGCCTGCAGGCTGGGCCCTTATTGTTTATGAAATTCTGGGAGTTTACTAACTGCTTGTGAGCCACACAGTCAAGACTGGGGCTCTTTGGATCTGTCTGCCAGGCCGACCAGGTAACCTTTGACCTCACTAGCATAGTCCCCAGAGTCATTTTTGTCCGTCAACACCCAGGTGTCGTCCGAGCCCGCCACTTGAGTTCTGCACAGGGGACAGTTGCTGTGCTTTTCATCCCTGAAAATAAATTAAGGTACGTCATGTTGCAAGCCCATAGCCAATAGTCACATCTGTGAATATAAATAAGAATATAAAGGTAATATGTGTCTGGTCGATGAATTACATTTGAAATCAGAAGCTCCATAATGATAGAGTTGATGACACAGTTTCAATGGGAAAGACTGAGCTACTCAAACAGGCAAAATGTTTGAATATTCTAAGGGTAACATTGAGTTACAGCTCATGACCACTGTCTCTAGTCTAAGCTTAGGGTTGTGGCCAGGTACCAAAGACCACTGTCTCTAGTCTAAGCTTAGGGTTGTGGCCAGGTACCAAAGACCACTGTCTCTAGTCTAGGCTTAGGGTTGTTGCCAGGTACCAAAGACCAATGTCTCTAGTCTAGGCTTAGGGTTGTTGCCAGGTACCAAAGACCACTGTCTCTAGTCTAGGCTTAGGGTTGTGGCCAGGTACCAAAGACCACTGTCTCTAGTCTAGGCTTAGGCTTGTTGCCAGGTACCAAAGACCACTGTCTCTAGTCTAGGCTTAGGCTTGTTGCCAGGTACCAAAGACCACTGTCTCTAGTCTAGGCTTAGGGTTGTGGCCAGGTACCAAAGACCACTGTCTCTAGTCTAAGCTTAGGGTTGTGGCCAGGTACCAAAGACCACTGTCTCTAGTCTAGGCTTAGGCTTGTTGCCAGGTACCAAAGACCACTGTCTCTAGTCTAGGCTTAGAGTTGTTGCCAGGTACCAATGACAAAACAACAGGCAAAAACATCATAAACCAACATCCCTGACAGCATGTTAACATTAAAAACCAACATCTTTGACAGCATGTCAACATTATAAACCAACGTCCCTGACAGCATGTCAACATTATAAACCAACATCCCTGACAGCATGTCAACATGATAAACCAACATCCCTGACAGCATGTCAACACTATAAACCAACATCCCTGACAGCATGTCAACATGATAAAGCCACATGAGCAGTTATTATGTTATACCTAGGACAAGAACCATAAACTCAGTTGAACAAAAAGATAATTGAAGTGCAGGTGGACATGAAGCACATTCAATTGCGGGTAGACAAATATGTCCCTTTTCATGATAACCTGTTAATTTAAACGATCAGCTAGTTTTAAAAAGGCTAAGTCTATAAAACATTTTTCAATTTCTAATTTGTAGAAATGTGTTGTTTTTTTCCTCAGAGGACTCATTGAATGAGATGTCATAATCTTACCTTGTCCAGTTGTCTATGCAAATCTCACAGAACTCGTGGCAGCATGAGAGCATGACACATGCCCTCCTGTCCATACAAACACAACATTCATTCATGGGCTCCTCGTCACCTATAGACTTCTTGTCTGAGCTGTCAATAGAAGACGAGAAATCATTTCAACCATGGCATCATGTAAACTAAAAAGGGAAACTGCCCTCATAATAAATCTGTGGATTATTGATGGATTAAAAAAACAGGCCAAAACAATTAAATAAACATTTTTTGTGCTACAAGATTGTGCCTAAACTGGCATCCGCAGTCTATGTTTCTATGGGAAAAGGGGGTATGCCAGATGATAACACACATACGGGACAATTCAATAAGGCGACTGAATTCATGTGCCATATTTTTGGGCTCCTGTGATTTCCAAAAAGATTATGCAAGTTTGCATGGCTTATTTTCACAGACAAACCTGTATCTTGAAGGATTCTAGGCTTAGGGCTGTTGCCAGGTACTAATGACCACTGGCTGTAAATTGAATGTGATAAATTTAAAATTTTCAAGGGACATTATTCTATTCAAACGCTTGCAAATGGCATGATACAAAACAATCAACCCCTTCTGTGACGATACCTTTCATCAATGACCTAGAGTCTGGTCGTTTTTTTAAAATCATTTTCACCCTTTTGGGACGGAGCCTTTTCACCAAAACGCAATCACCCCAAGCATTAGCTTTGGGAAATTTTTAAAGATAATTATTTCTTGAATAGATAGGAATCATGGGAGCTTATTTTATCTTGCTGCACCTTTCTCCAATGACAAAGCAAAAAGTTTTTTTGAACAGTCTAATCCACATTAATACATCCAATAAGACCTTTATTCACACTCTTAAAAAGAAGGAACATAGCCCTGGTGAAAACGGTTACCAGCGATTGGACAAGTGTTCATATGGTCAAACATTCTAATGACATACCCTGGTATCTGTCATGGGATGAGAAACTTTGCAAAGACGAGTTATAATGGATGTGGGGTGTTGGTGTAATTATCTTTCTAATTTCTCAATATTGAAAAAAACTTTTGAGTTTCATTTTTTAAATTTTTTTTGTAATCTGTGATTTAAGAGTCGCACCTTGAGAAAATTGACGATGCTGTAAGCTCTCCTTTACTGGCAGCTGGTGCTGACTCTGAACTGGAATCATCTCTGGTATTGGACAGCACTAAAACTTGCTCAATGATTTCTTTATATATAACAACAAACTGGCGGAGCGTCAACAGCCGACATGATTCTACCACATTGGTGCCGGTGTTGATCTGCAGGGGAGAATTTATTTAAAATAAAAGTTGATCAATAACATTAGAGAACAATTAAAAGGTGATCAATAGCATTAAAGAACAATTAAAAGGTGATCAATAGCATTAGAGAACAATTAAAAGGTGATCAATAGCATTAGACAACAATTAAAAGGTGATCAATAGCATTAGACAACAATTAAAAGGTGATCAATAGCATTAGAGAACAATTAAAAGGTGATCAATAGCATTAGAGAACAATTAAAGGGTGATCAATAGCATTAGAGGACAATTAAAAGGTGATCAATAGCATTAAAGGACAATTAAAAGGTGATCAATAGCATTAGAGAACAATTAAAAGGTGATCAATAGCATTAGAGGACAATTAAAAGGTGATCAATAGCATTAGACAACAATTAAAAGGTGATCAATAGCATTAGAGGACAATTAAAAAGTGATCAATAGCATTAGAGAACAATTAAAGGGTGATCAATAGCATTAGACAACAATTAAAAGGTGATCAATAGCATTAGAGGACAATGAAAAGGTGATCAATAGCATTAGAGGACAATTAAAAGGTGATCAATAGCATTAGAGAACAATTAAAGGGTGATCAATAGCATTAGAGGACAATTAAAAGGTGATCAATAGCATTAGAGAACAATTAAAGGGTGATCAATAGCATTAGAGGACAATTAAAAGGTGATCAATAGCATTAGAGGACAATTAAAAGGTGATCAATAGCATTAGAGAACAATTAAAGGGTGATCAATAGCATTAGAGGACAATTAAAAGGTGATCAATAGCATTAGACAACAATTAAAAGGTGATCAATAGCATTAGAGAACAATTAAAGGGTGATCAATAGCATTAGAGGACAATTAAAAGGTGATCAATAGCATTAGAGGACAATTAAAGGGTGATCAATAGCATTAGAGGACAATTAAAAGGTGATCAATAGCATTAGACAACAATTAAAAGGTGATCAATAGCATTAGAGAACAATTAAAGGGTGATCAATAGCATTAGAGGACAATGAAAAGGTGATCAATAGCATTAGAGGACAATTAAAAGGTGATCAATAGCATTAGAGAACAATTAAAGGGTGATCAATAGCATTAGAGGACAATTAAAAGGTGATCAATAGCATTAGAGGACAATTAAAAGGTGATCAATAGCATTAGAGAACAATTAAAAGGTGATCAATAGCATTAGACAACAATTAAAAGGTGATCAATAGCATTAGACAACAATTAAAAGGTGATCAATAGCATTAGAGGACAATTAAAAGGTGATCAATAGCATTAGAGAACAATTAAAGGGTGATCAATAGCATTAGAGGACAATGAAAAGGTGATCAATAGCATTAGAGGACAATTAAAAGGTGATCAATAGCATTAGAGAACAATTAAAGGGTGATCAATAGCATTAGAGGACAATTAAAAGGTGATCAATAGCATTAGAGGACAATTAAAAGGTGATCAATAGCATTAGAGAACAATTAAAAGGTGATCAATAGCATTAGAGAACAATTAAAAGGTGATCAATAGCATTAGAGAACAATTAAAAGGTGATCAATAGCATTAGAGAACAATTAAAAGGTGATCAATAGCATTAGACAACAATTAAAAGGTGATCAATAGCATTAGACAACAATTAAAAGGTGATCAATAGCATTAGAGGACAATGAAAAGGTGATCAATAGCATTAGAGGACAATTAAAAGGTGATCAATAGCATTAGAGAACAATTAAAAGGTGATCAATAGCATTAGAGAACAATTAAAAGGTGATCAATAGCATTAGAGAACAATTAAAAGGTGATCAATAGCATTAGAGGACAATGAAAAGGTGATCAATAGCATTAGAGGACAATGAAAAGGTGATCAATAGCATTAGAGAACAATTAAAAGGTGATCAATAGCATTAGAGAACAATTAAAAGGTGATCAATAGCATTAGAGAACAATTAAAAGGTGATCAATAGCATTAGAGAACAATTAAAAGGTGATCAATAGCATTAGAGAACAATTAAAAGGTGATCAATAGCATTAGAGAACAATTAAAAGGTGATCAATAGCATTAGAGAACAATTAAAAGGTGATCAATAGCATTAGAGAACAATTAAAAGGTGATCAATAGCATTAGAGAACAATTAAAAGGTGATCAATAGCATTAGAGAACAATTAAAAGGTGATCAATAGCATTAGAGAACAATTAAAAGGTGATCAATAGCATTAGACAACAATTAAAAGGTGATCAATAGCATTAGAGAACAATTAAAAGGTGATCAATAGCATTAGAGGACAATTAAAAGGTGATCAATAGCATTAGACAACAATTAAAAGGTGATCAATAGCATTAGAGGACAATGAAAAGGTGATCAATAGCATTAGACAACAATTAAAAGGTGATCAATTGCATTAGAGGACAATGAAAAGGTGATCAATAGCATTAGAGAACAATGAAAAGGTGATCAATAGCATTAGAGGACAATGTAAAGGTGATCAATAGCATTAGAGAACAATTAAAAGGTGATCAATAGCATTAGAGGACAATGAAAAGGTGATCAATAGCATTAGAGAACAATTAAAAGGTGATCAATAGCATTAGAGAAATTTAGGAATGGTCATATAAAAGGTCAGCAATATCCTTGTAGATCAATTAAGGAATATTCATTTAAACCAGTGGTTCTCAACCTTTCTAATGCCGCGACCCCTTTATACAGTTCCTCATGTTCTGGCGACACCCAACCATAAAATTATTTTTGTTGCTACTTCATAGCTGTAATTTTGCTTCTGTTATGAATCCTAATGTAAATATCTAATATGCAGGGTGTATTTTTATTATTACAAATTGAACATAATTAAAGCATAGTCATTAATCACTAAAAACAATAGGTAATAATATATTTTGAAATATTTATTTCTAATTGCAGATAAATGAAATTTTGTCTTGAAGCGTGATGTAGCATGGGTAAGTCTTAATTTAACAACAGTAAACTACTTTGCTACATTTTGTGACAGCATGTGTTAAAAGCCAACGTTAGTGCAAAGGTTGAGATTGTTTCTTTCTTACCAGATCAGAAAATCTCGGAACAGTCTTTGCAAGAGCCCAACGAAGATGATCTTCCACAACAAGTCTACTTCTGTATTTAGACTTGATTACCCATAAGCTGGAAAACCCTGTTTCACAAAAATATGTTGTTGGAAATGGAAGGAAAAGGCGCAACACAGTCTCATGCAGAACAGGAAGAGACTGCAAACACTTGAACCAGAATTTTGTAACTGGCATTGGAAATCAATTCTTGCTGCATCGCTGTTAATAAGTTCAATGAACTCCACTTGTGTTGACTCAGGAACATCTTCAACTTTGACTATGAATTGACTTCTGGCAAGTGCAAATGGAGTGTCAGGTATATTTGGAAAGTACGATGAGATTTCATCTTCAAGCATGTGCAAGTGTTCTTTCACAGAATTTATAATTGTAATCCCTTTGGTTCGATGTCATGTTCCTCAAAGAAACCAGATAAGATAGGCAATATGTACATTTTATTTTCCTCCAATTTTTATTTGCCAAAGCTGAAATTAAAATTTAAATGATCGCATCTTTTCAGACAAATGGAGGCATGTTGCATTTAACTCATTCAAGATGGCAAAGATGTCAACCAAGTAAGCTATTTTCTACAATTCACTTTTATCCCTAAAAAGAGCTTTGAACTGCAATCTTGCTTTCTGATTGAACAAGTTTTGAGTTCATCACGAAGCTCAAAAACATGTTTTACAATTTTTCCTTTTGACAACCAACTCACTTCAGTGTGAAATAGCAAAATATTGTTTGTCTCATCCAACTCGTTGCACAGTTGCGAAAACCGTAGACTGTTTAAAGTGCTTGCCTTTACAAAATTGACAGAACTTAATGACAGAACTTATGATGCTTTTCGGTACTTCATGTAAACCTTGTGGCAGCGTCTTCGTTGCTAATATTAGCAGATTATTCAATCAGTAAGTGTCGATGAACTTTGGTGACTCATTCAGTAACAAACGTTGAAATCCAGATTGACATCCTAGCATTGCTGGAGTACCATCTATGACATCCTAGCATAGCTGGAGTACCATCTATGACATCCTAGCATAGCTGGAATACCATCTATGACATCCTAGCATAGCTGGAGCACCATCTGTGTTAACACCACAAACCTTTTCCGAGAGATCTTATGATCTTTCAGAAATAAACCAACTGTGTCAAATACATCACCTGCAGTAGTTGTCGTTTCAAGAGGTTTGCAAAAAGAAACTCCTCTTTAAAGCCGCCATCATTAATATTCCTCATGTAAACTAGTAACTAGTCACAGTTTGCAAGTCTGTAGATTCATCCAGCTGGATACTAAATATTGGAAATGGAGCAGATTTAATTTCCTGGATTAGCTGATAAAGAATATCAACAGACATGTCATCTGTTGTTCTTCTGACAGTGTTGCTAGATAGGTAAATTGCACTCAGTTTCGTAACAAATTCGTCTCCAAACACAATGAAAATTTGTGACATGTCTGTTTTTTTAGCCGGACCAAATCAATCGGTTTCTAAGACCATCGGAAATGTGTTTTTTCCAATGGTCTTAGGCTACCCCATGAAACGGTACCGGGACCCCAAAGGGGTCGCATCCCACAGGTTGAGAACCGCTGATTTAAACCACAAACACTTTTCCTGGCCCATTTGTTCAGTTCAACCTCAATCCTTGCTCTATTTCTCATGTGCAACTCTTTCAACTCAGTGGTGATGGGCAGACAAGTCGTGGCCAAATACTCTCTTAAGGGAACCTCGACCCATACATAAAATGGTCAGCTGATTGACCACAATTATACAAGCCAGCTGCTGATGCCTTCACCTTAACCTTTATTATAAGTCATACCCCACGTTCCAAGAAATGCTCAGTAAATTATGCAGGGTGGAGTGGTATCCTGGATTGTAAGATCTTATGACTCATTTCATCAGTTTATAAATTTAAAACTTTTCCCGTTAGAATCAGAGAGATCCTCAGAGGAGAGAAGTTATGAGACACCCAGTGCTAACTGTTTTGTCCATAGTTAGTGTCAAGTATGAGAGTTCATTAGTAATTGTTGCGACTGAATATTATGTTCATTAATTATTGAACGCTTGTCCCGCTCTTGACTCTTTTAGTTAGAGAACGCTCTTCCCGTGTTTGTCTCTATGACATATTTTTATGCTGATTCGTTACGTATTGTCTAGACAGTATTGTGATGTATGTTTTAGTCATGCGGCAGTCTTGAGTGGAACTTTGTGGAAGTAGGATGTGTATTATTTATGTCTGATAGTGAGCTGCGCTATATTCATGTGTTCATGTGTATAGGATATACTTAGATATTAAAGTTATAATTATTATGAAAAGGACTTGAGTTTATTCAGTGATAGTAAGAATGATACAACGTATTCAATGTGTGAAAGAACTTGATGAACTAATCAATCCAAGTAGACTAAGGAGTTGACAGTTAGCTGTTGGGAATATTTATGTTATTCATTTCACTACAGCTGAGGTAGCAACATTTTCTTATTAAGTCCCATGTTATTCATGCGTACTAGTAAATATTAGATTTTATCTTGCTTTATACTTCTAGGAACATGTCTAACAACAATTTTTGTGATATTTAGCTCATGAGATGATATCTTTGTGGTGAGATTAGTAAGCATTACACTATTTCACTATTTTACTATTGTATTACTTCACTTTCCTTTCTAGTTGAGTTTGTGATGGACATAAATTTATTTGATGTTCACTTATTGTGTCTCATCTCTTCTTCTAATCAACCTATGACATTTTTATCTTTCATTAATTTTTTCCCCTTAGAAAAAGTTTAAAATTATGACTTTATAAATCCCTTATGGGTAACGTAACAATTATTATTTCACATCATGTTTGGTACCAATACTTATTAAAAAAAAGCATCTAAAAGAATAAAAGCAATGTTTACCTTTAAACAACGTATTCTAATGGTCCCTTTCCATAGGAATGTAGTGTCAGAGTCTTTTAGAATCATAAATCGCAACTGTTTTCCTGCTCTGTCAGTAAAACTTCGGGTTCTAAAAATAAATTTAAAAAAACATTTGATGGAAAAAAGGAGATGGAAACTGTGAAATTCTTGATTCCTGAGAGTAAGAGAGTTGGACTAGGATAAAGGAGATGGAAACTGTGAAATTCTTGATTCCTGAGAGTAAGAGAGTTGGACTAGGATAAAGGAGATGGAAACTGTGAAATTCTTGATTCCTGAGAGTGAGAGAGTTGGACTAGGATAAAGGAGATGGAAACTGTGAAATTCTTGATTCCTGAGAGTAAGAGAGTTGGACTAGGATAAAGGAGATGGAAACTGTGAAATTCTTGATTCCTGAGAGTGAGAGAGTTGGACTAGGATAAAGGAGATGGAAACTGTGAAATTCTTGATTCCTGAGAGTAAGAGAGTTGAACTAGGATAAAGGAGATGGAAACTGTGAAATTCTTGATTCCTGAGAGTGAGAGAGTTGGACTAGGATAAAGGAGATGGAAACTGTGAAATTCTTGATTCCTGAGAGTGAGAGAGTTGGACTAGGATAAAGGAGATGGAAACTGTGAAATTCTTGATTCCTGAGAGTAAGAGAGTTGAACTAGGATAAAGGAGATGGAAACTGTGAAATTCTTGATTCCTGAGAGTGAGAGAGTTGGACTAGGATAAAGGAGATGGAAACTGTGAAATTCTTGATTCCTGAGAGTAAGAGAGTTGAACTAGGATAAAGGAGATGGAAACTGTGAAATTCTTGATTCCTGAGAGTGAGAGACTTGGACTAGGATAAAGGAAATGGAAACTGTGAAATTCTTGATTCCTGAGAGTGAGAGAGTTGGACTTGGATGAAGCTTGCAGGTGGATTAATGGGACACAAACAGATTGTGTCAATAAAACAATACATGGTTTGTTTTATAGCTCAACATATGTTAAGCTATAAAAAAATATATGTTAAGCTATAAAACAATATGTATTATGGTATAAAACAAATTCACAATTTTACAGAGCTGCAACATCTTTTGCCTGTTTGATTTTTAATTGTACTCAAACCCACTTTCTTTCCATTCTTCTGAGCTTTGTTTTGGTTAGGGACTTGAGCCCATTCTGATTATTTCATTTTTAGATAGGACACAAAAATATATATATTGCCTAAATTTAATTTATACTTGTATGAATGTTTTTTCGTTCATTTGCGGAAATTTTTGAATTGTTTTCTGTGTAGCCATAATTAGAGCTTAATATGTAAGTGTTCTATTTACCCAAACTGTTTACGTGTCATTAACCTACTTAATTCCTGCAAAGAAATGTAAGCACTATTTTCAAACCTAATCGTTTTTTTTATATTGAACTTTTAGTTTTTGCTAAAGGGGGTTTAAATTTGTCTAAATTATTTTAAACAAACATCATCAATAATAATATGAGGCTTAAGAGCTATTCAAATTAACAAAGAAAAAGATTTAATTTCATGAGAAACTTTGAATGTTATAATTATAGTTGTAAAAATGAGACAGTATTTTGATCAATTATAAAACACAACCTTTACGCCCCTACCACTTAAAACTGGAGCTGCCAGGGTGTTCTTTTTTTTCTTTTAACACAATATTAATTTATGACAATATGGACGCCAGAAAAGCATTTAAAATGAAACAAAATGACAAGAACTTTGTAACTGAACACCCTCCTAAAGGCCAACTTGTTTCTTTAACATTTTATTTTAAATCTGATAAAGGCTTGGTTATAATTCTTACTCCCCCCTCCCCCCACCCCCACTGGAAAATAAAATCCACCAATGTTGCCGTTACAATTTATATTTTCCTCAGTTTTGAATCAATCTTCATTTTATTTATGTTGAAATCTAGAATTAAATGAATGATTAATAACAAGCAATTAGTTTATATATTACCATGTAGTTGGCTTTCAGAGAAAAAAATCTCTCTCAATTGTCAAGCATGTTAAGTGCAGCCCTTCAGTTTTAAATTTTTTAAAATATGGATTTGTGATTATTTTTTTTTTACTTTCCTAACTTCTTAAACATACGCAGTATTGAGCTCCTCTATGCAATCAACTATTTCTTTGTGCTTGACAGTAGCCAGACTTTTTATGATGTTGAAGTGGGCAAATAATTTACTCTGCAGCTGACCAATATCCCCTTCAGATGGATTCGAGGCACTTGAAGATATTTGACCCATAGTAGATTCAGTAATAATTCTGTGAATTGAAACAGTAGAAACAAAAAAAGTTGTTATTTGTATATGAAACCATTTTTTTTAAGTATGTTCTGTTAAATTCTTTTTTAACATAATTATCAATTACCATCCCAGTTCAGTATAATTACAACATTTATAACTAATGAGGGTAAACTATTTAAGTGAGCATGCAAAATGGCTGAAGCTTAGATGTATCATTTTTTTCATGTTCCAATCCATAATCAAATTGGCTAAAAACAATCTGTCCGACTATAAATTAATTTTTAAATATCATTATTTACCGTATTTAGCTTCTCCAAATCGTTTTAAGATTTTTTAAGTTTATTGTAAAGTTGATTGTTGTAAGTAGACTAACGAATATTTATTTGTAAATCAGATTAATCACCTTTTTAATTGGACAATATATTGTATTGAGAAAAATTGACAATTGAAATATTTTGAATGGCAATTTTTCTCAGTACAATATATTTTCCGATCCATCATTTTAATTTGCAAAAGCAAAATTTATTAATGGTAATTTTAAATTAATTTTAATACAGTAGAATGTCACTTATAAGAAACACCAGTTATATGTTTCTTTTTAGTATAAGTAATGCACATGATATGAAGCATTGATGAACAAACGACGTAAAACAATTCGGACCCCTGGCGAAATCCAGGTAAAATCAAATTTGAGACAACAAAAAATTGATGATTACTGAACAAAACAGACTGTAAAATAAAGCACCATGGGTGTAAAAGATAAGAATTATATTGTTTTCTATGCACTAAATTCTTAAATGAAACTTTCCCATGGGCTGTGGGAGAGTTCAGTTGTCTAAATCACTCCCAATTAATATGGATAATGTTCTACTTCTACTGACTGTACACTATAAACTTGGTGAATGAAAATATTTCTTTATTTAATTATTTATATATAAGTAAGGAAGGCTAATGAATCATAATAAGTAATAAGGCTAATACTTTGTCTATTGATATTGCTTTTGACTTGGCCTTGGTCTTGGTTTTTCCAAGCAGTTAATTAAGAATGAATCTTTTAAGTTGACACTCTAACTCTTGTCCTAGATACAAATTCCAGTTCATAAGAATGGTACATTTAATAAATTATTTGAATTACTATGCCCCAAATTTATTTATTTAACTTGAATTGTCTTTAATAAAATTAATAAATAATGAAGTTTATGAAGCATTTAATTTCGTGGTGAAGAATGAAGTTGAGCTGTGAATTAAATCAGATTATAAGTATAAGTGAAGCAAGCATTACTCAGAATTACTGACTCTACACTTATTTAAAAAGTCTCAAGAGTGAGACTCAAACGTATAGAGAAGTTGAGAATCAGCCACTTAGATTTATTGATGTGAAAGGCGACCACAGACACAGAGATCTATTACTATTAATCTATTATTACTACTATTACTAATTACTATTAAGCTTATTATGATCTCTTGCAAATAAATTTGCATGCCTTTCTTCTACATTATTAAATTAAATTTGATAAATCTAAAAATTCTATTTAGGATCCATGTCTCATGAAGAACGGTCACCATTTTAGGAAAAGACTATGCATCATTTGCTTTGTTTATCATTTATTAGCCAGCATAATATTGACTGTACTACGGCGGAAGTCGAAATGTGCTGGTTGTAAATCTACAGCTACAAGTACGGATAAGTGTCATAGAATGGACTCAAATATACCGTACCCGAATTGAAACATCTCGATTCAATGTTGAATGGTTAACGTTGCCGCCAGACAGGGCCGTCAAGAGAAACATTAGTGCTGGAGCAAGATGAAATGTACTTAGTAAAAGTTTAAAGACATCAATCATACACATTAGTGCATAAAGAATAACGTAGCAACCGAAAAGAACAAGAAAAGACGCGACTCACTAAAATTACTACCAGAATCTATGCTTCGATATGTCAAGAAACCAAATGATGACCAGGGTAAATAAAAAGAAGTTCCTTGGCCTACCATTGATACTGATCCCTCCGATACCATCAGCGTGTATTTTATAGAACAACAAATAGTGCAGAAAATGGAAGAGATTGACGTGGAAATACCATTTAAAGACGTGGATGGTTTGGAAACGGAAATGGGTGCAGGTGATGTTGATTCAAACCAAGATACTGCAAATCTGATGGTTAATAAGAAAAACTGGACTATTTTATAAGATGCTTTTCTCTGAAATGTACCAGTTCAAGATCAATTTCGGTTTGAAATTATTAAAATAGTGAGGTGAGTGCCTAGTTGAAGAACAATGATGTTGCAGTGACAAGGCAAGATACGCAATCTGAAGGAGGTGTGCGCCAGCTAACTAAATAATTGCCTCACAAGATGATGCCAAATGCCCAGAAAATAATGCGGTCTTGGATGTATATTAATTCACCAGTCAGAAATTGTACTGTTTTTTCTGCATATTGTTTGCTGTTAATGTTACAGAAGTGGTTTGATAAGTGGTAGAAACTGAGCCAAAAATTTCCAAATTCATGAGTCATCGGAAGAGCACCTATCTTGCCTTGAAAAATGGAAAACATTGGCAGCAGGACTTAGGCGAAAAAAAACAACAACAATTGATGCCGAAAGTATTGCTGTGATGTGCAGGGAGAAGAAAAACTGGAGTAATATCCTGGAAGGTTGCTGGATGTCACATTGTTTCTTCCGAAGCAAAATCTGACATTTCGTGACCAAAACGAAGATGAATCTTCATTCAATAGAGGAAACTTTCTTGAAATGGTTTACATGCTATTTAAACATGACCCAATGCTATAAAAGCACAAAATGAGATTAAAGAGGAGTATATCTAAAGTAAAAGCATCTTCATCTTACCTTTCACAAGAAAACCAAAATGAATTTATAAATGCCCTTGCAAATCATGTGAACGAGATTTTTTTTTTAAGGACATAAAGGCTGTGAGGCATTTCGGAACTAATGTCCACAGTACACCTGATATATCACAAACTGACTAGATGTCTGAAGTGATCCGATATGTGAAAATCCGCAAAGGGAAAGCTCAGTGAGAGAAGTGTTTCTTCGATTGTTCCCTTTAAAGGGGGAAAAACTGATGGACTCGACATAATGATGTGCAGAGCTCTATGCGATCCTATTGAAAATTTGGATGCAAGAGGTGCAGCACAGGGTCTCTTACATGATTTCTGTGATTTCACGTTTATCTGCTACCTTTATCTTTGGGATGATCTACTTAAGAAAGTTTATTTTACGCAGCAGTATCTAAAGTCTTTACTCTTGACTAATGGGTGACCAACCTATAGGCCTTAAGATTGTTTCTGCACGAAAATCGCTATCACTTGGTGAAACATGCTATTGAAAAGTCACCTTTAAAATAAGACCAATATATGGAATTTCGTTGGAGAGAAGATCAAGGCTTAAAAAGAGAACGGCTGGTGAACATTTAATAGATGCTGGAGTGTCTCGTGGAAAACAAAACCGGTAGGAAGATGTTGGAGTGTATCGATCGCTTTCATTCTGAACTAAAGATCATATCTTCAGCGATCAAGGAAGAACCAGATGTTTGAAGCTGTTCAACCCAAGAGTCAAGTATTAGCAAGAGTTACTGCTGTCCGTTCCAAAGTTAACCTCTTTTTATGATGAGTTATCAGAGGATGAACTTTTAAGAGAAATACCAAGGCTTGGAAGACACCTAAAGGCAGCTGACATTGAATTTCACAAAATAATACATGGGTCAGTATTTGATGTTTTGAAATTTATAGATGAAAGGGACTTCCTAGAATCTCTTCCGATAATCACGCAAAGCCTTCAAATGTTTGGTACGATCTGTGTGTCTGTGGCTTCATGATGAAGATCAGGAAAGGACGATACTTTAATCTAAAAATAACTATAACTTAACGTTGTTACAGTTCTTAAATAAATTGTCCTCCTGACCTTTAATTAATTTGTTTTTGTTCTTGTCATTGTTATACCGTGGACTTATTTTAATAAGAAGAAATCCATCGTAGGAGTCGGGGGAAGGTTGTGACACCATAAGTTTACCGCGTGACACCAACCTGAGGTACTCCACTGGATGCAATGACATTTATACTTTGCTCTACAACTGTGATTTCCTAGCCTTTTCCTGCCAAAACTGTGGATCACGTCATCAAAATCAATAGTTTTTGCAAGATCCAACTCAATATTGAGTCTTGATAAATCTACCAGTTCCCCCTGTGGTCAATCTTAGACTGTACGGTGGCCTTTTACTCGTAGGATCATCATATTACTGCGGCCTTTTAATCGTAGGAACATCATAGTACTGCGGCCTTTTGCTCGTAAGATCATCATAGTACTGATGCCTTTTGCTCGTAGGATCATCATAATAAAGTGGCCTTTGCGTTTATTATCATCATAGTACTGCGGCCTTTTGCTCGTGAGATCATCATAGTACTGCGGCCTTTTGCTCGTAGTATCATCATAATACTGTTGCCTTTGCGTTTATTATCATCATAATACTGTTGCCTTTGCGTTTATTATCATCATAGTACTGCGGCCTTTATGTTCCATCACAAATCTCGCATCATCTAGGCGTTGTCAATAGTAAACAATTTATTTGAATTGAACGAGTCTCTGGCACTGGATGAAAAAGAGTCGTCCACATATTGTTGTTGTTGTATAATTTGACACACATAAATACACAATTTAAAAAAGTGGTCGTTGGGGGGGGGTTGATGGAGGAGGGGTGCGTAGTGGATGATTGTTTTAAAAGATCATTTTTGGTTTACATAAAATCGTTTTGCAATTGGATTGTCTAGTTATAATCATTTCTGGCGTAAGTGGTGATGCACCACATCTGTAAAACATTGTCGGTTCGCATCAATGTGGGATAGATTCGTTCGGGTTGGTTCGTACTAATCGCACTCAGTGACGTTGAAGTTCGGGTTGGTTCGTACTAATCGCACTCAGTGACGTTGAAGTTCGGGTTGGTTCGTACTAATCGTACTCAGTGACGTTGAAGTTCGGGTTGGTTCGTACTAATCGTACTCAGTGACGTTGAAGTTCGGGTTGGTTCGTACTAATCGTACTCAGTGACGTTGAA